ATATATACATTGTATATATATATATATGTATATTGTATAATTACATACTCCTTGTTCAATTCTTTTTCAGACAGACACATCACCCAGTTCCCATGGCCGACATGCCAGATCATCGTGAAGATTCTATTATGCCTTCCGCTTGGTCAGTTTGTCTGGACAGGAATGGCTTGGTAACACACTTGGAGCTGATTCTTCTTCCCTGCGCATGCATTTGGAAGCCAAGAAATAGTGTTAATTTGACTCTTGGCAAGTTAATCTTCTGCTTCTTCGAGAACCTTGCTTCTTTGGGCTGCCGGTCATCTGGGCTACTTGAACCCAGCGGCAGAGACAGCAACGACTCACGGCATCAGCAAGGACGCGTCAGTTTTGCTTTGACAACTGTTTGGGCGTTAGAGGGCCCTGCCCCGCCCACTTTCGACGGCAGTTCTGCCTGCACCACTTTCGTTGGGTGCCGGCACCCACGGAAGAAGGGCCATCGCCCACCGGAGAGCTTCTTCGATGAACAGCAAGGCAAATGGGGCGCCCCATGCGCTTGCTCAGAAAGCAACAGTGGCCGCCCTGTGCGAGGCAAACCACCCCGACTGCTCTGGTTGTCAGTCCAGGACTTGCGTGGAACAGCACCCTAAAGAGGGGAGGCCACAAGATTTTGTTGCTGTGGCTGTTACCACACCGGGTGTTGAGGATGTAATGTAAGCTTGCCAGGATATGAACCAACACCACAATGTCAGGATGATGGAAGGACACTGTTTTTTGGCGTTCTGTTTCTTCCAGGTTTCAATTTCCTTCCTGTGACGTTAGCGTTGCTTTCCCTCTACTTCGCACCGAATCTGGTCTTCACGAGGGTTTGGTGCAAGCTTTGGGGCTGCCACTTCGCTGGCCGTACATGTTTTCTTGCTGTGGCGGGCCAAAACTCTGTGGCAGGACTAATCACTGCGAAAAATGACGTAGGGTTCAAACTTGCATTTTGAACCTCCGGTCTTATGGTTTGCTCCAGGACTCCTGGTCCGAGTGTCACCTCTGTTCAAAACTCCTTTCTTGAGCCTGCTGCCTCCGCTCCAAGATTCTGCTTTCTGACCGTGAACAGGCTGGGAATCGGCTTGCTCAGGGATACATACATCACACATGCGGTATTTGTAAAGCCCGGAGGATGTAAATACGCTCCAAAGCTCAGGCAACCACTCCTCCACATGGGGGTCCTGGTTTGATGCCGCCACTGGCAGGCCGGGAGAGGCAAACGAAAAGGCCTTGATCAAACCGAGTATGGATGATCGAGATGAGAAGCTGCATGGTTTCTGTGCTTTAAGTTCCCTCCCAGAGTATTGAAGACTCCAGTTGCGTGCTCAGCAAAGGGAGTCGTTTTTCGGGTGAGTTTCTGCCAGGTGGGGCTTTGCATGTTGTCATCAGTGCATGAAGAACTCCTACTGCGTGCCCATCCAGAAGGCCGAGCTTGAGGCCTTGAGCAGAGTGGAATCGATGACAAGGTCATTGGTGGTGGCCAAGTGACTGTTTCAGTTGGTTTAACTTTGGAATGTTTAGGATTTTGGATCATATTGCTTCTTCTCTTGTTGGCACTGCGCGTGCTGCTTTCTTCGTCTTAGAGATATTGAACTTGAATGAAAACACGCATCTGTGGCAGGCTGGCGCAGAACCGGAAGATGAAGGAGTGCTTCTGATGTTTTCGGTCTTATGTCATCTGCAGGTGTTTCTTAGTCCTCAGTCCAACGGTCCTTGGCACAAACTGTGGATGAGGACCTGGGCCCGAGCCTGCGGAGCCTGCGGAGCCTGCCGCGCTCGGCGACGCCGCGACCTCCGCGGTCCAGCCTGGCGAGGCGGCGTCAGCGCCCAGCAAGCTGAGTGAAATGAGGCGGGTGAAAGGGGGGACATGTTGGGGAACGTTTGGTAGAACAACAAAGCAATCAAGAAATTGATCCTTCGTTGTGAGGGTGGTTGGATACTGTTATATGAACACATGCTATACTCCAGCAGAAATGTGTTTTGAGTTGGAAAGTCAATTTGATGTAGCAGGTGTAGGACGGTCAGTAATTTTGATTTCATAGCCATTACAACATCGGAGTAGCTGTGGAGGGAGGACATTTGTTTGGGCAGACAAGACAAGTGAAGGCGCAGTTCTCGATTCTCGTTGAATCCGTAGTCGCGGTGATAGTCAGGCAAACCCATTCGTGTTCTCGGCAATCACACTGATCTTCTTTGTGCTTGTTCCGAGAACACCCATGCGTCACCCCAAACTCAATCAGGCACCAACTGACCACAGGTTGAAGTCACTCTGAACACCGAAGAGCCACAGTTCTGGCCAAAAAAAGGGCATAGCGCCCATCCACCGAAGGGGCTTTTCTCCGATCGCACCGAAGGACCTCTGCGTTTGGCCATGTCCTCGAGGCTGGTTCGGGTTTGGCAGCCCGCTGCCAGGGGGCGCTAGAATGCAACCAAGGGGAAGGATCGTGATTCGGGTGTGCCCTATTGAACCTATTGCTGGCCACTAGTTTACTGGGAATTCACAGGGGATTGGTACTGAGTGGTGAAGAGCAAATCACTTGAAGTTCCAATGAAGAAGAAGAAGAAGAAGAAGAAGAAGAAGAAGAAGAAGAAGAAGAAGAAGAAGAAGAAGAAACCCTCTGTCCTACCCAACTGCCTGGTCTCTCCAGAACTCTGGGTTTTTCTCGGAGGAGGCGGAAGACCTGGATGAGAAGAAGCTGGCGGATGCAGTGCAGCAAGCCAAAAAGAAGCAGATCCTTGGAGTCTCCAATTTTCTTTTTGCTCCTCCCATGCACCAACACCCGCTCTCAACACGTGGCGGTTTTGCTGATGGGTACTTGGGGGCGCAGTTCAACCTGGAGGTGGACAATGGGTGGCATCCACGGGGGTGTTTTGTGGTTTTCCTTCACTTTAACTTTAATTCACCAGAAGGTACTTGGCTTGCTGGGACATTCTTGGGCAACTTGTGATCCGTTCGCCATTGCCTGGCGGAGGGTTATCAAAAACAGAGAGCTCGGATGAGATCCAGCGTATATATATATATATGGGCGTTGACAATAGCAATAGCACTAGCAACTTTAAGTTCAATAGGTCTTGGAACACTCCCCCAGGGGGCCCCATCAGCACCTGCCCATATATATATATATATGGGATTCCAAGGTGTCAACTTTCGGGTGACCGCAGGTGATTCTTTACAGACATACCTTGAACTCTCCCGTTCTGAGCTGTGGGTTTAGAAGGTTGGTTGGCTAGGGCGCCTTGAACTTCTGACCTTTGGGTGAATTGCTTGATTGATTTGCGGTATTCCACAAGTGTCCACAATGTTTACTTTGTGCACAAGTCCGAACGAAAGCCTCTGTCACAGTCTTCTTGACGGGTTTTGCATTTTTTGATTTGCTTCATCCCAGGAAGCTGGAGCGAAAAGAGGCCTCTGCAGCGAAAAGGGGGGGTTGACAAGTCATTTTGACTGGACATGGCACGGCCTCCAGCGTTTTCCATTTCTGATGAACCCTGGGACTCGCGTCACTTCGTCCGTGCCGAACGAGAGCCCATGACCCCACGGGCCCCAAAGCACACTGCCCGTGGGGCCGCCGATTTGACCATCTCACTCACTTTGTTGGTTCGATCTGATGCACGAGTGTTTGCGGCCGCTCCGAAATGGATTTGATGTCCTTTTCTTGTCCTAGAGGGTTTTGGACAGCTCATACATACGTGAACCGCGGTGCCAGGGCCGCATGACCCTGGACGATGCAGCTTGGCCATTTTGTTTCCGCCATATCATATTAGGCCCAGACCATATTGCCTGCGACCGCTCTTTAGTTTTCGGTTTGAACATAGGATCGACTAGATGAGAAGAAACCACCGGTAGGATACTCCAACGTTCCAGTTCATTTGCCGAGGCAAGTTAAGATTGACTTGGAGCTTCATAATTTGGAATCTGGATTAATTCTTCGGAATCAAAACAAAATTTGATGCATCCAACGTAAGTTTTGATGCTTGCCTTGCTCCTGAGGAACGAAATCGTCCATACAATTCCTTGGCCGGAGAAGCCCTTGCGGGCGAGATCAGCCCCGAGGAATACGAGGTTCGAGCGTGGAGCGAGATGTGGATCCTAGAAGGATGGGCTACGCCTAGATGATGTGTGGGCTTCCAAGTCTTGGATGTTTCTTGTCGCAGACGGGCTGTCTTTAGCAATGCGCAGACTCCGATGCAAAGCGAAACCAGCTTTTTCTTCCGTTGAGTGAATGCAACATTGCCCGACGATTTCCTTGTTGGTTCAACACCGTGCATTCACAGTTAGGTGACCAAGCGATACCAAGGGTATACGCAAGAAAGGAACTGTCCACCCAAAAGCTGATGGGTCGACCCTGATGGTGAAAGCATCTGCGCAGGCCTATCGGCTAACTCGCCAGCGCGCGGATGATCCAATGGCCAAGTTCCTGTGAGTCCCTCTGCGGCGCCGACTCCAATCCGTGGTGAGCAAAGCTCACGAGAGGAAAAGCGGCACTCGAGAGCGTAAGGAGTATGTGGGAAACTTCGGGGTGGAATCAACTCGGAGTTCTCTTTTTGGGGGGTAGGCCGCTAGTGTAGGTGGGTTAGCTAGGGAGTCTGTAGCTAGTAGAAGAGGTATATAGCTGGTCGCTTAAGTGGCTACTATTTAGGACGCAGGATAGCTCACGCTTCTTCAAGGAAGCTCCCCCCGCCGCCGTAAAGGTAAACTTCCTCGAAGAAGTGCTCGCACTGATGATTTGGTTTCTAGATTTTCTAGATTTTTAGGGAAACTGACCACAACATGAAGCTTATATGTATACGCTTATGAAGGGGTTAATCTCATACAGTGAATTCGAGTTGCTGCAGGACTCGATGGTCGTCCTCCTCTTTCTCTTTCCGTCTCGGTGAAGGGTCAAGGGTGGATCATCCCTCGCTTGGTCAGAGTGAATCTGTGCGGCTTTCCAACCGATGACTCCCAAAAAGCTCTTGGGGGTTTAACCCGAGGGTTGATGTTCTTTCTTTTCGCCAATGTCTTGAGCTCACATCCAAAGCACAGGCATACGGCTGACGATTCCAAGAATTCACCATGTATGGAGATGTGGGCCAACTCAGGCCTTTGGCCCAAGTCATCAGCAGGCCATCCGTATAGAAAATGCAAGAGGATGCTGTTGTTGCTGCTCCTCTTTCAGGCCAGACCGAGTGATGGCTGAATGTGAGGCGCTCTCTTGCAAGTTTGGATCAATTTGCTTTGATTTAGTCATCAGGTTCACCTTCCTTACAGCCGAAACCTTCACCAGCCTCCGACCTCACAGGCACTCACCACACCTATTTCGCCAGGCTGTGGCGGCTTTCCATGACCACTCCGAGGTCAGCCCGAAGCAGACGCTGGTCGTCAACCATGCCGGCCAGCTGCTGCCGCAGGCCACGGCGATGCCTCGGCCTCCCGCCTCGGCGATGCCGGCGGGGCACGAAGCGCTCGGCCGCCTCGTGCGGCCGAAGGATGCGCTGAGCGAGGAGAGCGAGCGATCCCAGTTGAGGAGAGGGGCCAAATGAGGGAAGAAAGGCACCCTGGAGTCTCAAGAAGAATGTGCTGTTTGGAAAACAGGAGCTTGGCATCTGGAAGAGATGTTGTGGGAGTTTGTGGGTTTGAGGTTCAAGAATCCGCGGATCTCAGCGGTGGAATCAGCTTTGCCTCGCGACCCGCGCCGGTGAATCGCGCGCCAGGAGGCTGTCGTTCATGGCTTTGGGCGGTGCCATGCTGCTGGGCTACTTGGGCTTTGTGGCCAAGTCCAACGATTCGACCAAGTCCGAGGATCAAAGCCTCCTCTCCGCCTGGCCAGAGGCGCCTGCGGCAAAGCAGAGCGGCGAAGCGACCGAGCGCGTGATTGATTGCTTCACCAGCTGCATTCATGCTTTTATTGGTCAGAACTCGATACGGTTCCAGCCAGCATGTAAACCTGTTTTAAGATGTTTTGCGTACAACTAACAATTTTTCTTGGGGGTGCCTCAGTTGCTGCTCCTTTTAGACGTTCTTTGTCCACAGACGATGTGCCCCGATGTCAGGCCGTTCCCTGGATGTTGCTCTCCATGACCTTGTCGATCTTCAACAAGTGGATCTTCCTCCCAGCTGGTGGGAACTTCCCTTTTCCAATGACGGTCTCCTGTAGCCACATGCTTTCGACCAGCATGGTCCTGCATCTTCTTCGCCTCTGGAAGCCTCAACTCTTTCCTGGGCTTCGTGGCCTGAACTGGAGAGCAGCCCTTCCAGTGGTGCTACTGGTAGGACCGCATGTCGAGCGACTCTAAGAATCTGACTACTGTGACTTTCCGCTGATGGTCATGTTCTTCCTACCACTTTGTTAGCTAGGGTGTTTCAAGCTTGTGGGACACCCCACCTACCCCGAGCCCTTCCACCACAAGCAGACGTGCCACTGGGAGGAAGTCTGTTGGCAATCTCAGTGGTTCTGTCCAACTCTGCTGCTGTGCTGCTCTCGGTGGCCTTCGTGAACATGCTGAAAGGCTTAAGGGTTTCCGACACATGGGCAGTGGGAGACGGGATGGGTGGGCGGATGCAATGGATGCCGAGGAAGAGTTACGGTTGCGGAACTGGCCAAACGAGAGATGTTTAAGCTGATTCCTCACAGCTAAATGAGATTCCCTGCGCCCAATTGTTTTTCCTTGATCATCCATGGCTGGAGCTTTAGACAGGCACGTCCAGCCATGGATGTTACTTCTGATCTAAGATGAAGGGACCAGGACCGGACCAAGCAGCGTGTCCTTCCAGGTGGAAATCCCGTGGTGGCGCTTTTGCTGGGCTTGACCTTGGGGACCTCCAGCTGCAACTGGCGGATGCTCTGCCCCGTGCTGGTGATCATGTTTGGAGCGGCTTGGACGGGTGAATGGTGGGGGACCGGACTGGACCAACGGTGGCCTCCCAACTAGTGGATTTGGGCCGGAACTATGGACCAGCAGCAGGGCTTCCCGGGGTTTGCACAGACTCCAAGGCCTCTAAGGCAGCAAGTTGGTCGGCTTCACTTGAATGTTTCGGTGGTGTCAAGACGTGCTACGACCTGAGGCAGTTGCCACAGTCCGTGGTGAGCTGTCTTTGAGCTACCTGGGCTTGGCGCTTTTGGTGACTGCCATTGTCGTGGAGCAGCTCCTTCCACTGCAATCGAAAGTGCCGACATGGGGGGGCCACCAGAACACTGGCCTTAAACTTTCCAATCGATTTCCGCTTGGAATTCGCTGTTTTCTTTCTGTTTGCACTCTTTCGTGCACTTGATGTGCCCCACCAGTCCCGTCAGCACTTGTCTCATGCTCTTTGACCAGGTTCCGCCTGGTTCTCTTCAAGTCGATGAAGTCAGAGAGTGGGCTCTCCTTGGATCCACTCTCTGTGGGGTGCTCAGGGCATGAACAATGTGCTCGCAACGTCCAGAATTTCCCGAACAGCATCAACAAATGTGCTGCGCATATATTACGCAGTGTAGACGGTATGCAGAGCCCACAAAACAGATTTCTACGGCGCTTAAGCACAATTCGGTGGATCTGATACAAGTCCCTTGAAAGTCTTGAGAGAGGTGGAATTCTTCATTCAAAAACCCCTTGAAAGCTGTTAGGTTGAGGCCATCCTTGTGAGGTTGGAGGCCATTGCCGTTAGGTTGGAGGCCATCGCTGTTAGGTTGGAGGCCATCGCTGTTAGGTTGGAGGCCATCGCTGTGAGGTTGG